TCAGTAATCTTGTTTATGAAAGTAATTATAAGCATACATAAAATAACATGATTTTGAGGTGCATTAATAATCTCTCTTCGCCAATGACGAATAAAATATATGAAAACTAATAAATCACAATTTATTGACGGACCAATACTAGTTTGTAAAATTCCATATTTGATTAATCGAATACGATTTGAAAACTCACTCATGATCAATTTGAACTCAGCCGTATGAATATGATCTAGAGGAAAAACAAACATTTTTTGAAATTAATTTCTTATGTTAACCATGTCATCTTACATTCAATTTACAAAACAAAACTTATCAACATAAATAAAAATATACATACTTTTGGCTCGTTTTTTTTCCTATTTACTCCACCATGCAGGACGGTAGTCGATTAGAATTCTTCACTTTACTGACTAAAACATTAACTAAATAACTGATTTATTCTAGAAACAGTTTCTACTTTTCTTTATCATGTTTTAAATCTTATTATGAAAACATAAATACCATTACACTGGATGCTGACATCCAAATAATAAAAGTATCGGATAATCACCTGGATACCCAAATCAATTCATAATTCTCAATTCTCAAAATATCGATTATCTTCGCGTAACAAGATGACTATCAGAACGGAGATTTACGATAGAGAAATCAATTTGATTACACTGCACGATATTTCTGGCAATGAAATGGATATCGTATAGTATTAACATGAAAATAACTTGAAAGAAAGATGAATATTGAGTATAAGAAAATTATGATACTACTCGAAATATATAAATGAATAAAAACTTTCCCTTAACATTAATCACATTGCAATATGAAATCATATTAACAAATAAACGTGAGATAGAAGACTTACGGGGAAAAAATGATAAACTCATCTATAAAACTCTGTTAGTCTAGTGTATTCTACAATTTTAGATAAATTATTCAAAGAAAAAAGATGTCGTTATTCTTTATTTTATAAAAATAAAATGATGTTTAATATACAAAGAAGAAGAAATCTCTCTTAGTCAGATTTGTTCAAAGTAAAAGACTGGATTAACGAAAGCTCTTAATCGACTGTCAAAGTGTCAAGAAAATACTGAAAATTTCTGAATCAGCTATTAGTTTTTATTAGTTATTACACCTAATGTCATACTTTTGATCCACCTGTATTCTTACGGTGTCTAGCTATGTTATTATTTAATTAAGATTGGTCCATTGCCAAATGATTATCAAACACAATATTTCTCAAAACACATAACAAGTTTTGTTGCTTCATTTGAAAGGAAATTATTTATTCACGCTAAAATTCTGTTCTCGGTAACCTCTTTAGAAGGTTTTGTGTTAATACGAAAGATATCTCCAAATGTGTTCACAGTTTCATAAGCATATATTAAAATTCTAAAGAACCATTAAAGAATTGTCCAATATATCGACGGAAGAGTCTTCCCACCGATCTGCGAATTGATCTTTCAAATATTTATTGAAATTTTTGAAACTGTGAACATATTCGGAGACGTTCTTGTAAGCGGGAAGTCTTTCTATACTGCACTTAAATATTCAATCTCATTCACATGCAATGTTTATATGTTTGATTTACTTGCTTTTTCTTCTGCTTTGTATCGAAAGTTTTATTTTTATTAAAATACTCAAATATCTTATACAAAGTTACTGTCAGTTTCCCAAACTCGAGCTGGTATACCCAACTGTGAATAATTTAAGTGTAGTATTTTGTAAGATTGTATCAGATACGAGATAGAGTTTGGGATTTGAAGGACAATAAGCAAAATCTAATGTTTCCCAATCAAATGGAAGTGCATTCTGATGATAATTTCTATTTTATTTGAATTCTGTATCTTTGACATCTCCATCGCATTAAATCCACAACTATACATGAACCATTGTATTTACATTGGTTCCAGCATAGCCAGTACAGAAATATACCATAATACTAATCATTCGAGTCGTTGACGGGCTATTCTTGATGGTAAAACAAGTGAAGCAACAATGAGTTCATTATGCTGCCGACACCTATTTATCGATGAATACCTATTAAATTGATTTGTCTACCTATATAGATATATGACCTTCTAACTACTTCTTAAAATCATTGTGTTATGCATTTCAAATGCGGATAGTATTGGCAATGGTAGTGTATATGTTACATTTGCATCAGTATCAGCATCAGCAAGCTTGAGAATGAGTAGATATAATAAGATTAGACTTTTCATTTCGACAATGATCATAGAAGAAGACAGAATGCTCGTCAGACAATCAAAACATTGCATTTATATATCTTTAGATAAAACAAAATTTTTTCCCAAATAAATATATTATATGCACATCGTTGAAGATAGTTTTTTGGCGAAGTGAAACACGATCAACTGTATACTAAATTGCAATGAAAATCTCATTTTGTATATTTACTTGAATACACACAAGAAAATACTTTTATCTAAAGACATATGTCCAGATCTAACAATCGCATATTTGGAATTTGAAGGGTGTGGGTGGGGTGTGTTATTCTCACCCTCACCCTCATGATTTCATTCGATTTCATGATGTTAGTTATGGTAAAAATCAACTGAATTGACTGAAACAGTTCCTGTTGAAGCTATTCCACAAAGAAGAAGAAGAACGTCTATAACAGTACTTTCGTCAATTATCAGCATCCCAAAAAAAGTACAGAGGAGTGGAACACAATGACCGGTGTCAACGTAAACACGGACAGTAACTACAGTTAAAAAAGTAAAAACTGCTGATATATGTTAACATCTAACAGCAAAGAAAAGACTTTTTTGAACATTTTATTGTTCCAATTATTGAAAACTGTGCGATCTATTGGTACTGAAATTTTTTCAAGTCGTTTTGCCATTTATGAAAAAATCAATATTCGATGCAGAATCAAATTCGGAACCGAATGAACTCATTCTTACGGACGGGAATTCATTTTTAGCAAAAAGTTTTATGTGAATTTCTGTTTTTTGATGCTATAGATTCACATCAATACTTTAGAGCAAAAGATTACAAATCTTCAATCTTTTAACCGATGCCGACGTGAATAAAAATTTATCAATGATGAACCACCGAACGGCGATATTACCGATAGTGAAGACGAAAAGTAATTGTTCCATAATTATTTCGATATATACTCAATGGTGTTTTACATTTCATAGTTTTTTTTTTTTGGTAAAATGAAATTCGATCTCGGCAGACGCATGCCATGGTAGTTGTTTGTCTTCAACATACATTCGCCCTATATGATTTTCAGAGTAGCTAAAAAACAATGGTTTTTCTCATAACAATTCTTTTTATAAGAAACAGTTTCATCGATTTTGATGAAAGAAAAAATATCGTATGAAGTTAGTATTATTTATAGTTATGACAAACACTATGATGATGTTATCGTTAAGTATTTTCCATTCGTAAAAAGAATTTCTCTTTCATTCTTTGTCAAAATAAGAAACAAAATGGATTGTATTCAAATTACTCATATCATAATTAATCTATCTTTCTCCAACGTTTTCACACTATGAGGAATATTTTAACAAGTAATCTTTGTAAAACTGGTATACTTTGCTGTAGCTATTGGATTGTATTCACAATTTGATTTGCTTCATATGATTCTTCTATACTTCAATCAGTGATTTCATTCATTTTCAATTCATATTTATCAATTATGGTCAATCATTCAGCAATTTATGCATTAACTATGATAATAATCAATCGATTTTGTAGAATTGTTTATTCAAATAAGATATTTTTCAAGGAACATACATAGTCTGTCATATCAGTAACTATACAATGGATAGTAGCTATGATTTTACCTTTATCTCAATTGATTCTTTCTTTTCAAGTAAATTTTAGTTTGATATAAACATACATCGTTATATAATTTTTTAATAGACATGCGAAAATGGTAATAGTATTTCTTTATCGGTTCGTTGGTATACTTTATTCATTAGTGTTATATTACATTCAATGATTATGATTTTCTTTGATGGTTTTATATTTTATAGTTTATTCATCAATTCGACGTGTTCATCTATTGCTATCGAATACGTCGACGATTACAAATGTGAATCATCGAAATTTTTGAGATATTCATTTACTTAACCATATGATTTTCATGTTTGTGGTATTTATTATCGGATGGACAGCACATTATATTTTAGTAGTAATTGATTAGAACGAAAAAGTATGTTTAAAAATAGTATCAATAATTGACTATAAACTGGAAACTGTTCTGTTCTTGATTTCTTTTATGCGATTGATGGAGAACTAATCAGCAATAGATTTTGACTAACAAAATGTAGTAGTAACTTTTAAACAGAGATAAATCTCGTTTTCCAATGATTGGTATTGCAAAGATAAACAATATGAGCAAAGAAGTATGTTCACATTCCAGAAATACTTTTATGAGATCAAAATAGGATGATAGTGGCTAAATTGGTAATGTTTTGTCCAGTTCTTTTCTCTTAAAATAGTTGGATTAGAAATTGATTATTATATCATTTCTGTTTACCATTTACGACTGATACGATAGAGATAATGTGTCAAAAGAGAAAAAAGTAATTTATGATTTTTAAGCGATTTAAATCACCTTTCCTCTTCTTGAACTTTTCATTTTCGTCAAAAGTTTATGTGTAAACATTATTAATGTGCCTAGCTGTTCCAGTGATAAAGTACGAGTAAGAATGACAGGAATCTATCGACATATAGTTGAAGAAAATCAATTTTCTATAGAATACACACTGAAAATGCGTCGAAGATATTTTCATAAGCTCAAAAAAACACAACGTTCTTAGTTTAAATTTCTAAACAGGAAATTAATAGACCTGTTCTGATGTCTTCGATGTGGATGAAAGTAATTTCTCTATTGTGTATCTTAAATGATTTATAATTGAAAATGTGTTATTAACAAAAAACTAATTTCTTTCATCGAATACTTTTGTATTTTAAACTACTACAGTAACGAGTAGTTCTTTCATATTTTTCCTGAAAGTATACAGAAGAAAATGTCGAACAATAGCAATGAAACTGCAGATTATAACGATGTTGATTTGTTTACATTAGAAACTCCGTTTAGTAGAATTCTAAACTTCAGTATACTAATCACTTGTTTAATTCCCGCAATGATTTGTACACTGGTAATCTTCTATTATTTTATTCGATTAAGAGATCTACGGGCAAAACAACAACATCATGTGTAAGTAAAACTTTTAGTTATTTTTTGTACAATTTATTCAATTAGAAATGAAAATAAGATCATTAATATAAATAAGTTTTGTTTTAGTGTAATTATTTTATTATTTTTCAATTTCATCATTATGATAGCTGAATTGCCAATCACTCTTATACATCTTCATTATGGTCAACTTATTCCGCCATCTTATTCTCTTTGTATCTATTGGATATTTCTTTGTAATTCTCTTTTTTCCGTAAGTTTTTGGATAATGACAGTTGCATCAATCCAACGATATATTCTTATTTTTCATCGAAATCTTATGAATACACATTATAAACATTACATTCCTATTTTTTTCTTTCCTTCATTTGTTTTTCTATGGTATATCGTTCTTGTTCTATTTTATCCATGTGAACAACATTTTGATTACACTCAGGGTTGGTGTGGTGGTGCATGTTATATATTTATAGGAATAATTGGTACTGTTGATTGGATCATAAATTCTTTTATACCTATTATAATTGTAATTATTTTTGACATGCTTCTTATTATACGTGTAGTTTATCAAAAATATAAGATGCAACGTGCTCGTACTTGGCATACTACTCGTAAATTGACAATTCAACTAATGTCAATTTCGTTTCTTTATCTGTCAATTTATTTGCCTACAATAATATTTGCACTGATTCGACTTTGGTTTGATCCATTCTTTCTCTTTGTTTTTACTTCCGTTTATTTTATTTATTTTGGTTATTATCCAATATTGTTTATGCCATATGTATGCTTAATTAGTTTGAAGGAAATTAGAACAGAACTAAAAAAATTATGCTTTTGGTCTAACAGAGTGTAATCAACACAAACTCAATAAGCTAGAAAAATGTGGATGATAAAAATAGAGATCTTCACTCACATCTCCATCAATACACGACAGAAACTCTCATTTTACTGTAAAATGAAAAAATTGGAACTTCTAAATAATCGTTTTTCATTATCAAACATTTATTTTAAATAAACATAATATCTATAGTTTGAATATTAGTGTTCCAGTTGACTTGGTTTATAGTGACAGGTCAAATTGGAGAATACACCACAGCAAAAATCAAGTTTTAAAGGAGTTGTACCGATATGCTCAGCACATGCACTTCAAAGAACTAACGATTGTCAAGGCCACGATAAACCAAATCAGTCTAAAAGTATTATATTGCAAGTTTCATCGGATCCATTATGTATTCGAAATGCGAAATATTTTTCAAATCTTGCGATGCCATCTAAATCACCAATAAAGGTGTACCTGCTGCTCAACAGCAAAGTTCATTTATCGATGATCGAAATTTTCTTTTGTTCAAAAACTTTCTATCGAAAACTGCAAAATGAATTTCATCAATCGTCGTAGATGGAAAAAGTAATAATTATTGAGAGTTTGTGTGAATGCTCTTCTTCATCTTCAGAATGATCCACTGTCATTTTCATACATTCTATATCTTCGCATTCTTCATTGTGATCTTCATTATCTGTAGAGTTTAATACAAACTCTTTCGAAACATCACAAACTGATATTTCATCACGTGTATCATGTTTATTTTGCTTTTCTTTTCTACAACCATCAGTAATTAGTGTTTATGAAGAAATTCGATTCTCTCCTTTTCTATATGGTGATTAGTACTAGATTATAGAGTTATAATTTGGGAATATCACCAGTTGTACCGGACACCCAAACAGAATTCTTTTACACCTGGTATCCTTACTCTCGCCCTCAAGGTAGTCATAATGATAACAACTGCTCCCGATAGATTTGGACAGTTGGATGATCGTCTGGTAGAGATTGTAAAGCAATTTCCAATGCTAATTCAAAATTATTCTTGGCTAATTCAATATCATTATTCATTCGATGAATATTACCAATATTATTGTAAGTTACAGCTAAATCTGGATGATTCCATTTGAGTGTTTTCAATTGAATATCAACGGCTTTTCGGTAGTAATATATCGCTTCGACATATTGATTTTCATAATAATAATTAGTTCCGATATTATTATACGTCAAAGCTAAATGAGGATGATTTGATGGAATTGATTTGATTTGAAATCCTAGAGCTTTTTGAAAGTAAATCAATGCGTATTTATAATCTTGTTTATCAGAATATATTGTTCCTATATTACTATAAATTGTTGCAATAAATGGAAAATCAGCATCTGGTATTTGTGACAACTCACAATTAAGAGCTTTGTCATAGAATTCTAAGGCTTGTTCAGTATCATTCATATAAGTATAAGCCAAACCCATATTATTGAAGATTCTACTTTTCAATGAATCATTTATGGTTGAAAATTGTGAAGCTTTGGTGAGATTCTCTAATCCGGATCGATATTGACCATAGTTCACTTGAGAAAGACCAAAATTCGAATAAGCAATTCCAATATCGTAATGGCCAGGTGGCAAAGATTTTGCATAAATCTCAAGACCTTGTTGAAAATTATTAAAAGCTTCTTCATAGAGACTAAGGTCATTTTTGATTAAACCAAGATTTATAAATAGTTTTCCAGTTCGTGGATCGTTTTTTGGATAATACTTTAAATGTGAATCAAGTGCACTTTTAATATGTTTCTCGGCATCTAAAATGAGTTTAAAAGTTTAAATAAACATTCTTTTAGTAAAAAACTTTTGTCCTATCAAAATGACCTACCCTCAAACTTCCCGACTTCTCGAAAAGTCATTCCAATAGCCGTACATCTACAAATGACAAGATCCAATTGTTGTAATGATAATGTATCTTCCTTTGATATATTCGGTATTTTGTTTAAGTATTCAATTGCAAGTCCATAGTTTCCAGTTAAACTGCTGAGATTAGCCAAACCAACATATGTACACACTAAACCATGTTGATCTGATGTTTTCAAAAATATTTGAAGTGCATGTTCATAGTCATAAATAGCTCTATTATAATCACCTTTCTGAACACTTACATATCCACAGTTCTGTGATATAGAAGCAAGTTCATTTTCCGTCAGATTTATTAATTGTTCTTCGTTTTGATCTAATAATAAATCAAAATACTTTTCAGCTTTTCTATATTCACCCATTTCACAGAGGAATCGACCAAGTGTAATGACAGATGGACATGTACCAATGTAATGTTGACGATTAAATTCTAATAAACTATTCAAACTTTCATTTCCATGACTTGCTAATATCAAATTAACTATCCATTTACTTTCTTCTTCTTGAACAGAATCAATACAAAAGATGCCATTCATTGAAAGAAGTATTTCATCTTCGGCACTATTGTCAATTTCCACGTATGATAAAATGGCCAATTGATTATCAAGAACGATTCGAAACAAAACAGCTTCGAGTTGTTCTTCTTCATTTCTTATACCAGCAAATATTTCAGCTAAAGATCGATTTGTTGTTGTTGATAGAAAACTATTCATTGCTATTAATCCATGTATATTTTGTCTGATAATTTCGAATTCGTTTCGACTTAATTGTTGTCCACGGTAAACTATCAAGTTTGAATTGTCAATTGACTGATACTTTTCACTATATCCCGATTTTATTGATCGATGTAAATCGACAATAAATGAACGAAATTTAAATATGACATCAATATCTTCGGTACGCAATGCTCGATTTAATAATTTATATACAAAAGAATCGCAAGTATACCAATATAAAGCTTGCTTGCAGTCGTAACATTTTGCAAAATGATCAATTTTTCTTAATTCACTGTCGTCATCCGCATAGTATAATCGACATTCAGCTATCATTTCTTCATGTGCTCGATTAACGTTCTTATCATTAGAATACGGAATTTTGAGCAATATATCTGTTAATAATTGATACCACATAAATGTAGCACCTTCTTTACTTAAATCTCTTGTTGTTTTATTCTTCAAATTATCCGTCGTTTTCAATACACTTGTAATTAAATTTTCAGATGAAAAGCGTTCATTCATCTTTTTAATGATAGAGCAAATTCTTGTCAGTTGAAAAACAATAGATGCAAAAGAAAAAAGTACTTTCTAGAGATTGACAACATGATCTAACTATGATTAATCATCGTAAATCAACAGTAAGAGAAAAATGGTTGGTGTTCTGTTTTAACAAGTTAAATAAAGAGAAAGAGGGCGTGAGCATAGGAATGCCACTTGAGGATGAGAGTGTGGGGTGAGTGTTGAGGGATTATGATGTAAGTAGCGGTGAGTTGCCTGGTTTCTCGGGGAAAACGACGATGAATATATTAGGTATAGCTATTTGGGTCATTTTCCATGAACAGCTGGGTTCCTGCTAAATTGACTAAAAGAGTGCTGTGACAGAAACGCTAATGTCAGATGTATAGGGGCGGTGGGTTTCGCTGTGTTCTTCGTGTATATATATGCATAAAGAAGAAAATATGTTTGTTTGTTTGTTCGCTATGTGTTTAGTACCTGTAAGAGCTATCATCACTAAGTGTCCATCGATATTTCCTTTGATCCAGAGGAAGGTTGACACCTACTTTGTTGCAGAAAAAGTAAACCACACGCCTGCTAGCAGCATGCTGTGTAACGGACGAATAGGGCCGAAGACCTTCTGAGCGCTCGTACCCAAAAATCGAATAGTTGAATTCGAGTTTCGAGTTTGACACTACTGGAAGTACAATGGTACTTGAAAGAATATGTTATATGGACGCAAAAAAAGTTTCGTATACTTGACCACCGCGTGATATGGTAGTAGAATAAATAAACACAAATATTGATTTCGTTTAGGAATTCATTTAGAGTAGCAGATTTATCGTAGATAATATAAACACTCGTAAAACAAAGCACGTACAACAGAAAAAATAGAACATAAATATACGTATATCGAATAGATACCTTAATGAAAAGGAAACAAGCGTATTTTATTATATTCCTATTTATAGTTCTATAGCATTGATGATAAAAAAAAGGATACATAGCTTCTTTCCCACCATTGCATGAATAATCGTTGTTATTCGACATAAATAGTATTTTGTAATCGTAAGATTCTTCAGCGAAATATTTTCTTGTTCTTTCATCTGATATGTAGTTCGGATAAGGAGAATATCTATACATGTTTTCATTCCCCTTCTTTTCTGTCGACCGTTATACGTCGTATATCTATTCATATGATCCTATTTTTGCATAGAACTTCTATAGAATAAAACAAATGCAAAATAATTTAGAAGTCAATACTTTACATCGAAAGTAAGTTTCATGAAAGTATCGTATTTATTTACGTATATCATCTATTAAGTAGAAAAAATCATTTTTATGCTATAACAATCATTCTATTACTGATTTTGGTTATTTTATTATTAATTCTATATGTCATTGAAATCAGCAGAACAAAAGGTATGTGATTTTCAAAACCAAATCTGCTTCAATGATATCTTTGGTAGATAACACGAATGATTTGTGTTTAACACCGTATTGCATCAAAGCAGGTCGGTGAATTGTAGTTCATAATACTATACAAAAGTTCTTCTATTTTTTTAAGCTAATTATTTGCTCGAAAGTATCGATGAAACAATTGATCCTTGTGAAAATTTTTATGAATTTGCTTGTGGTAAATGGATAAAAAATGCCATAATACCACCTGAAAGTGAGTATAAAATAAGAATAGAAGATAAAAATCATCCTTGAATTATCATTTATAGGTGGCGAAGAACGTTCGATATCACAAATAGTAAAACAATTACAACATTCACTTATCAGTACGATTGATTATCAAATTATTTCTCTAAATATTCTCTTTTAAAGATTTATTAGCATCGAATGGGACAGAAAAATCTAAAGCAATTATGAATGCTCATCGCTTATATAATTCCTGTATAGATGAAGATGCTATTGAAAAAGAAGGTATCGATGCAATACTATCATTGGTCAATCAAGAACTTGGAGGATGGCCTGTTTTACAAGGATCAACTTGGAATGAATCAAAATATGATTTTGATCGATTAATTTTGAAACTAAGTGAATATAATAATTATATTTTATTTACAGTAAAGACAGATGTTGATGAGACAAATTCATTTATACGAAATATTCATGTAAGAGATTCATTAATGGTTCAGAATTCAAGATGAGAAAAATATTTATGTTTTAGCTTGGTCCTTCTAATATTGTTTCGGAAAATTTAATTCACTTTTCAAAAGGAATCAAAGTATTAAATGCTTATGAAACATTCTTTGAGAATTTAACTCGAGCATTAACAAATGACTCATCGACAATCGACAATGATCTGGTTGATTTACTAAAATTTGAAACGGACTTTTTTCAAGTAAATCTTTATTTTTCGAACAGATTTTCTATCTTTTCGTTCTTTACATAGCAATATATAACACAAGATCGATTAGTTTTTAATGACACTATTCGTACAACAATCAATAATCTTTCACATACAATGAACACCAGTGTTAGTATCAACTTTCTCATACCTTCTTTTCATTCTCTATCATTTAAAGTTCGATTTTTCAAATTATGTTCGTCGTCTATATTTATTTGCTAATATCTCTCTGGTTGATACAGATATTGTAACTGTCTATGCACCAAATATTCTTCGTTTTATTTCATCAATTATTGATCAACAATCACCACGTNCTATACGTGTAGTTTATCAAAAATATAAGATGCAACGTGCTCGTACTTGGCATACTACTCGGAAATTGACAATTCAACTATTGTCAATTTCGTTTCTTTATCTGTCAATTTATTTGCCTACAATAATATTTGCACTGATTCGACTTTGGTTTGATCCATTCTTTCTGTTTGTTTTTACTTCAGTTTATTTTATTTATTTTGGTTACTATCCAATATTGTTTATGCCATATGTATGCTTAATTAGTTTGAAGGAAATTAGAACAGAACTAAAAAAATTATGCTTTTGGTCTAACAGAGTGTAATCAACACAAACTCGACCAGCTAGAAAAATGTGGATGATGAAAATAGAGATCTTCACTCGCATCTCCATCAATACACAACAGAAACTCTCATTTTAAATAAACATAATATCTATAGTTTGAATATTAGTATTCCAGTTTACTTGGCTTACCATAACAGGTCAAATTAGAGAACAAACCACAGCAAAAATCAAGTTTTAAAGGGGTTGTACTGATATGCTCAGCACATGCACTTCAAAGAACTAACGATTGTCAAGGTCACGATAAACCAAATTAATCTAAGAGTATTATATTGCAAGTTTCATCGGATCCATTATGCATTCGAGATGAGAAATATTCTTCGAATCTTGCAATGCCATCTAAATCATCAATAAAGGTGTACCTGTTGCTCAGCAACAAAGTTCATTTATCGATGGTCGAAATTTTCTTTGTTCAGAAACTTTGTATAGAAAACTGCAGAATGAATTTAATCAATCGTCGTAGATAGAAAAAGTAATAATTATTGAGAGTCTGTGTGAATGCTCTTCTTCATTGTGATCTTCATTATCTGTAGAGTTTAATACAAACTCTTTCAAAACATCACAAACTGATATATCATCACGTGTATCATGTTTATTTTACTTTTTTTTTCTACGACCATCAGTAATTAGTGTTTATGAAGAAATTCGATTCTCTCCTTTTCTATATGGTGATTAGAACTAGATTATAGAGTTATAATTTGGGGATATCACCAGTTGTACCGGACACCCAAACAGAATCTTTCTACATCTGGTATCCTTACTCTCACCCTCAAGGTAGTCATAATGATAACAACTGTTCCCGATAGATTTGGACAGTTGGATGATCGTCTGGTAGAGATTGTAAAGCAATTTCCAATGCTAATTCAAAATTATTCTTGGCTAATTCAATATCATTATTCATTCGATGAATATTACCAATATTATTGTAAGTTACAGCTAAATCTGGATGATTCCATTTGAGTGTTTTCAATTGAATATCAACGGCTTTTCGGTAGTAATATATCGCTTCGACATATTGNTATATTCAGGCCAGAAGAAAAGTGAAGAGCAGTATTATTCGTATTTTTCGTTATGAACAATGTTTATTTATATATTTATTATACAAGCATTATTGAATTTATCAGTTTTATGTGATTTTTCATGTTATGATTGTTCTGAAAATATTCTGGACTATACACTTACAGATGAAACAGTTCCTACACAATTTAATAATTGCACACTTGTAACTGGTCGATTATATTGTTATATACATGTCCAATGGGAACAAAATCCAGCAAAAACTAAACTTCAGATATCTGGTTATCAATATTGGAAATTAGATATTATGGGTCATGATCTAGAAGCAAGAGCTTCTATTAGTTACGATGAATCACAATTAAAATGGTCTAAAGTGATACGATATCGATGTTTAACTAATGAATGTAATAGTCCAACAAGACTGACATATTTATTAAAGTCATTAAAATTTGTTAATAGATTAGAACAACTTCAATATCTTATCGAACCAAATGAAACATTTGATGGACAAGGATGTCTTGTATATTATAATGAAACTGGGAAACAAATATCATTACCAACACAAGTTCATCGATCGGCGCCTCAACAATGTAGAACTATGATAAAGATAGAACCTAAGAGAAAAGTAATCAATGCAGAACGTCTTTCTATACAACGTGATTTAAATTCATTGAAACATTATATAGAAATCGATATCAATAATCGAATTCGTTCGTCTAATTTATATATAACTTGTCAAAAAGCGGATTGTAATTCACTTAATACTGTCGATTTAATTTATCGAAATTCTTTCGTTGATTTTAATATGGAAAAATTTATAGATCAAACATCAAGTAGTTTATCAATCATATATTCATGTGTTTTTTACAAAACATTTTTCATGTTTTTTATCATATGGATATTCAGAATATTATGAAGATTTTTTTACCATTAATAAAATCAATAAAAAAAGCTTTCTTTCAATCCTACCCACTTTATGAAAGAAAAAAAAGTTTAAATGAGTCAACGAATTTTATTAGTCTTCTTTTTCCTTCTTGATTTTTTTTTCATGATTCATTTTTAGATAATTCTCAAGCAACTTAACGAATCCACACTTGATGTGTGTGAGGTTTCTTTTGCGTTCTATTCAAAATAACATCGGATGATGTTACGCAAATATACGTCAATTACTCATGTATTCATGAGTCAATGTTAGAGATTATCTATATAAAATTATGATGTAGCATTAATTTTAGATTATACTGACAGACAATTGAAAATAAGTATATTTAACGAAGACTAATGGAACAAAGACGTAAATATCAGCTGGCATAACCTTCTGATTCTTATATTTCTTTACCATTTTTTGTCAATTTGAACGCTACAAATAAACAAACCAATGTCGATTTTAATTCTCAGCTGATTGCTATTGATTTGACTAGAATACGTGGAAATGAGTACGTCTATCAAATTGAAAAAGATCAAAACGTATTCAATCTGAATAATAAACGAGATTTTACAATACATAGTCTGTTATCTTCTGGTACAACAATAATTAACAGACTTTCGAAAAGATCTTCTAAACTTGTGGCTTACGTTTACGTAATGCATTCGTGCTATCTAAACCTTTAAATTCATAAAGATCAATATCTTTTTCATGATATATGTTCCAAAGTATGAACAGGTAATGCAACTAACATCTTATAGTTAATTAAATGTTCATTATTAAATTACGTAACGAATCGATAGTGATTGTAAATACTTGTAGATGAGTTTGATGGAGTATTTCTTGATATCATAATCTAGGATATTATAATTTACTGAAAGAAGTACAATGGTACTTGAAAGAATATGTTGTATGAGCGCAAAAATGTTTCGTATACTTGACCCCCGCATGATGTGGTAGTAGAAAAAATAAACACAAATGTTGATTTCGTTTAGGAATTCATTTAGAGTCGCAGATTTATCGTAGATAATAAACACTCGTAAAACAAAGCATGTACAACAGAAAAAATAGAACATAAATATACATATATCGAATAGATACCTTAATGAAAAGGAAACAAGCGTATTTTATGATATTCCTATTTATAGCTCTATAGCATTGATGATAAAAAAATAGAATACATAGCTTCTTTCCTACCATTGCATGAATAATCGTTGTTATTCGACATAAACAGTATTCTGTAATCGTAAGATTCTTCAGGGAAATATTTACTTGTTCTTTCATCTGATATGTAGCTCGGATAAGGAGAATATCTATACATGTTTTCATCCCCCTTCTTTTTTGTCGACCGTTATACGTCGTATATCTATTCATATGATCCTATTTTTGCGTAGAACTTCTATAGAATAAAACAAATGCAAAGTGATTTAGAAGTAAATACTTTACATCGAAAGTAAGTTTCATGAATGTATCGAATTTATCTACCTATATCATCTATTAATTAGAAAAAATCATTTCTATGCTATAACAATCATTCTGTTACTCATTTCGGTTATTTTATTATTAATTTTATATGTCATTGAAATTAGCAAAACAAAAGGTATGCGATTTTCAAAACCAAATCTGATTCAATGATATCTTTGGTAGATAACACGAATGATTTGTGTTTAACACCGTATTGCATCAAAGCAGGTCGGTGAACTGTAGTTTATAATACTATACAAAAATTCTTCTATTTTTTTAAAGCTAATTATTTGCTCGAAAGTATCGATGAAACAATTGATCCATGTGAAAATTTTTATGAATTTGCTTGTGGTAAATGGATAAAAAATGCCATAATACCACCGGAAAGTGAGTATAAAATAAGAATAGAAGATAAAAATCATTCTTCAATTATTATCTGTAGGTGGCGAAGAACGTTCGATATCACAAATAGTAAAACAATTACAACATTCACTTATCAGTACGATCGATTATCAAAGTATTTCTATAAAATATTCTCTTTTAAAGATTTATTAGCATCGAATGGGACAGAAAAATCTAAAGCAATTATGAATGCTCACCGCTTATATAATTCCTGTATAGATGAAGATGCTATTGAAAAAGAAGGTATCGATGCAATACTATCATTGGTCAATCAAGAACTTGGAGGATGGCCTGTATTACAAGGATCAACTTGGAATGAAACAAAATATGATTTTGATCGATTAATTTTGAAACTAAGTGAATATAATAATTATATATTATTTACAGTAAAGACAGATGTTGATGAGACAAATTCATTTATACGAAATATTCATGTAAGAGATTCATTAATGGTTCAGAATTCAAGATGAGAAAAATATTTATGTTTTAGCTCGGTCCTTCTAATATTGCTTCGGAAAATTTAATTCACTTTTCAAAAGGATTCAAAGTATTAACTGCTTATGGAACATTCTTTGAGAATTTAACTCGAGCATTAACAAATGACTCATCGACAATCGACAATGATCTGGTTGATTTACTAAAATTTGAAATGGACTTTCTTCAAGTAAATCTTTCTTTTTCGAATAGATTTTCTATCCTATTGTTCTTTACATAGCAATATACAACACAAGATCAACTAGTTTTTAATGACACTATTCGTACATCAATCAATAATCTTTCACATACAATGAACACCAGTGTTAGTATCAACTTTCTCATACCTTCTTTTCATTCTCTATCATTTAAAGTTCGATTTTTCAAATTATGTTCGCCGTCTATATTTATTTGCTAATATCTCTCTGGTTGATACAGATATTGTAACTGTCTATGCACCAAATATTCTCCGTTTTATTTCATCAATTATTGATCAACAATCACCACGTACCGTACAGAACTACCTGATCTGGCGTTTCATGATGAATCGAGCTGCACATATGCCAAAGCGCTTTCGAAATATGTCACAACAATATGTTCGTACATTTCATGGTACTACTAGTGAAGAATCACGTGCAGTTACATGTGCATATTATGTTAATACAGCAATGGGATTAGTGGTTTCAAAACTTTATGTCAAAAAGTATTTTTACAAGGATGCGAGAGCAGAAGTAATGAGGAAAAAAAAGAATTACTACAGAGAAATATTTGTCTGTTATGATTTGTTGAATAGGCAATTGAAATGGTTAATAATATTCGAAATGCATTTATTACGATGGTGAATCATTCGATCTGGATGGATTCAGAATCGAAAATTATAGCGATTGAAAAAGTGAGCTAATCATTTGAATAATTTTATATTCAAAATAAAATCAAACTATTCTTTGTTCGTTAAAAGGCTCGAAATCTTCGAGCAAAAATTGGCTATCCTGGATATTTAGGAAATGATGATATGGCAAAACTTGATAGAGACTATGCTGAGGTTTGATATAGAATGAAAATGTGAGATTAATAGTTATCTTTATATTTGAAATTTAGTATAATTTCAATTCATCGTACATGCACAATGTTTTAAGTGTCATTCGTTTATATTCGAAAGGAAGTCTTCAAATGCTTCGTCATGTTGTCGATGAAGACGATTGGATGGACATTTCACCAACACAAGTCAATGCCATACATAAATTAACAACAAATGAGATCAGTAGGAACAAATTTGTATACTAGAAAATCAAATCGGTATTTTATCGTTTTCCTTTAGCTTTTCCGACTGTAATATTTCAAGCACCGTTATTCGATAAACAGGCACCGAAGTAAAACATCATTTTCTCATACTAGAATATCCTTTATATTCTTGATAGGTATCTCAACTATGGTGGTAAGAACAAGATTCAGTGGGAGAAAAGAAGAATGTGATTGAGTTTAGGTATTGGTGTTTTTATGGGACATGAAATTGCACATGGATTTGGTGATGAAGGAAAAGACCATAATATGTATGGACATAAATTTTCATGGTGGACTAAAGAAACAGGCAAAGCATTTGACGTACATAAGGAATGTATCATCGAACAATATGATAATTATACTGTAACACAAGTCAATCGTCAAGTATATCTTTCGTTCAATTTATTGAAAAGATAGAATCATTTTTATTACTTAGGTAAAGGGGATAAAAACACAGGATGAAAATATTGCTGACGATGCTGCATTGAAGCAGTCGTTCTTCGTAAGTTTTGTTGTTCATTGATTCAAATTGGAAAATGATTATTAAGGCATATCAACAATGGGCGAAGGTTCATAAGAATGTTGATAAGAAACTTCCTGGTTTAACGAAATATTCTGCGGAACAAATGTTCTTTCTTAACTTTGGTCATGTATGGTGTACGAAAATGACAGATGAATCTATACTTTCTTATCTAATTTCGGATAAACATTCACCTGAACGATTCAGGTAGTATTTTGTTTTCTATTGATGTACGCATTAATCTATTTATGTTTCTAGAGTAAATGGTCCAACTTCGAATTTTGTAGAGTTTGATCGAGTATTTGNAACGAAATATTCTGCGGAACAAATGTTCTTTCTTAACTTTGGTCATGTATGGTGTACGAAAATGACAGATGAATCTATACTTTCTTATCTAATTTCGGATAAACATTCACCTGAACGATTCCGGTAGTATTTTTTTTCTATTAATGTACACATCAATCTATTTATGTTTCTAGAGTAAATGGTCCAACTTCGAATTTTGTAGAGTTTGATCGAGTATTTGGCTGCAAGCCAGGTCAAGGCAATAGCCGAGTGAACAAATGTAACGTGTGGTGAATATCTTTGTATAGAACACTTTATCTCATCGATTTTTTTCTGCTCGTGATGATTGAAAAGTTATGTACGGTTTTATGTATGATCTTTCACAAAATAAAATGGTTAAAATATCGAAGATGGACTTAGTGGAAAATCGACAATCTGGCCGATTTGAAAAACTACCTAGACTTTTTAGGAGTATGTCAATATAAAGTTTCAGGTAGAATCCTATTGTCCAGCTTCACCCTCTTCTTATCCCTGGGGAGATTTTCAAATTCGGTGATATTGCTGAGATTCTGTTTTATCTTTTTCTTTAGTCTTGCACGCCTTTTTTTACACAGATACAATCCAGGTTTTCGGTTTTTTTTTCAGTGTTATAACTAGACGATCGAGAAATTCGATAAGAGATAAAATACCGTTAGTATGCGTAACTGCGCATACTTTCGAAAAATACATGCGAATTTTTAATCCTCAGAACCTTTTTATATAATCATGTCAGCAGCTCGATTAACTATACTTGACTGTCTTCTTACTATTGAGACAATAGACGCACCAATGCTCATTCAAAACAGCATCATATATGCTAAAATATATTATTCTGAGCGATCCCATAGATTTTTTTTCCGATTCTGTTTTGTGTTAGAAATCAACTTTGACGGCGAGTTTTCCTATTCATTTATTTTTTTCTGCTTCGTCATTATAATACACGTGTATGTATGATGACGAAGCATTTTTTTCATATATATATATATACATGAGACACTATTGAATTGTTACTTTTCTTCGTCCTTTGACAAATTACATCGCGTTTCTATAATAATGCCAACATATAAACTCTATTATTTCAACGCTCGTGGTCGTGCTGAAATAGCTCGTTTGATATTTGCTGCTGCTGGAGAGACATTTGAAGACGTTCGATATGAACGTGAAGAATGGCCATCACATAAATCTGAAATGCCATTAGGTCAAATGCCAGTTCTTGATGTTGATGGAGTAAAATTACCTCAATCAATGGCGATTGCTCGTTTTCTTTCAAAACAATTTCAACTTGCTGGTAAAGACAATCTTGAACAAGCTAAAGTCGATGCAATTGTGGACACAAGTATTGATTTAGCTACGAAATATATACCAATTCATATGCAACAAGATGAAAGCAAGAAAAAAGAAGAATTAAATAAATTTTTTGCTGATGAATTACCAAAGCATTTGAAAAATTTTGAAACTCTCGGAAAATTATATAGTAATGGCGGCCAATTTTTTGTTGGGAATTATTTGACTTTTGCTGATTTAGAAGTCTATGATATGTTAGGATATATTATTAAAGTTGATGATAATATCCTTCAACCTTATCCTTGGTTAGAACGTAATCGTCAATTGGTTGAAAAAAATCCAAAAATTGCTGAATATCTTAACAATCGAAAAGAAACATCATTTTAAAAACAAATTTTTCCTTTAGTTTATAGAATTGACATCAATATCGTACAATAAAGAATAAAAAGATGTGATGAACAACATGAAAAATAAGAATACGAGTGTCGATAGTTTTCATTGAAAGTCTTCATCCTCATAATTTCTCCTGTAAACTATAATCAATATATATATATAATAAAATACAGAACATTCTGTGCTTTCTAATGATATTTTAATTATTGCACATTGGATGAACTAAAGTAATTAAAACTCCAAAAATACATAAGAACGAAGTCAATTGAGTTGAACTATACGTGAATGAAGATTCTCAACATTTTCTATTATTTCAACAAGTAAATAAACAGAACGACAACCAATGAAATATATTATAAACATTAAAAAAAACTTTACTTCAGATATTTTTTTTNTCATTGATTCAAATTGGAAAATGATTATTAAGGCATATCAACAATGGGCGAAGGTTCATAAGAATGTTGATAAGAAACTTCCTGGTTTAACGAAATATTCTGCGGAACAAATGTTCTTTCTTAACTTTGGTCATGTATGGTGTACGAAAATGACAGATGAATCTATACTTTCTTATCTAATTTCGGATAAACATTCACCTGAACGATTCAGGTAGTATTTTGTTTTCTATTGATGTACGCATTAATCTATTTATGTTTCTAGAGTAAATGGTCCAACTTCGAATTTTGTAGAGTTTGATCGAGTATTTGGCTGCAAGCCAGGTCAAGGCAATAGCCGAGTGAACAAATGTAACGTGTGGTAAATACCTTTGTATAGAACACTTTATCTCATCGATTTTTTCTGCTCGTGATGATTGAAAAGTTATGTACGGTTTTATGTATGATCTTTCACAAAATAAAATGATTAAAATATCGAAGATGGATTTAGTGGAAAATCGACAATCTGGCCGATTTGAAAAACTACCTAGACTTTTTAGGAGTATGTCAATACAAAGTTTCAGGTAGAATCCTATTGTCCAGCTTCACCCTCTTCTTATTCCTGGCAAATTCAGTGATATTGCTGAAATTCTGTTTTATCTTTTTCTTTAGTCTTGCACGCCTTTGTTTACATAGATACAATCCAGGTTTTCGGGTTTTTTTCAGTGTTATAACTATACGATCGAGAAATCCGATAAGAGATAAAATACCGTTAGTATGCGTAACTGCGCATACTTTTGAAAAATACATGCGAATTTTGAATCCTCAGAACCTTTTTATATAATTATGTCAGCAGCTCGATTAACTATACTTGACTGTCTTCTTACTATTGAGACAATAGACGCACCAATGCTCATTCAAAATCGCATCATATTCTATGCTAAACTCTATTATTTCGACGGTCGTGGTCGTGCTGAAATGCCATTAGGTCAAATGCCAGTTCTTGATGTTGATGGAGCAAAATTACCTCAATCAATGGCGATTGCTCGTTTTCTTTCAAAAAAATTTCAACTTGCTGGTAAAGACAATCTTGAACAAGCTAAAGTCGATGCAATTGTGGACACAAGTATTGATTTAGCTACGAAATATATACCAATTCATATGCAACAAGATGGAAGCAAGAAAAAAGAAGAATTAAATAAATTTTTTGCTGATGAATTACCAAAGCATTTGAAAAATTTAGAAACTCTCGGAAAATTATATAGTAATGGCGGCCAATTTTTTGTTGGGAATTATTTGACTTTTGCTGATTTAGAAGTCTATGATATGTTAGGATATATTATTAAAGTTGATGACAATATTCTTCAACCTTATCCTTGGTTAGAACGTAATCGTCAATTAGTTGAAAAAAATCCAAAAATTGCTGAATATCTTAACAATCGAAAAGAAACGCCGTTTTGAAACAAATTTTCCCTTTAGTTTATAGAATTGATGTCAATATCGTACAATAAAGAATAAAAAGATGTGATGAACAACATGAAAAATAAGAACACGAGTGTCGATAGTTTTCATTGAAAGTATTCATCCTCATGATTTCTTCTGTAAACTATAATCAATATAATATCATAGAATACAGAAAGTTCTGTACTTTCTAATGATATTTTAATTATTGCACATTGGATGAGCTAAAGTAATTAAAACTCCAAAAATACATAAGATCGAAGTCAATTGAGCTGAACTATACGTGAATGAAGATTCTCAACATTTTCTATTATTTCAACAACTAAATAAACAGAACGATAACCAATGAAATATATTATAAACATTAAAAAAAACTTTACTTCAGATATTTTTTTTGTCTAATTATCATGAAACCTGTTGTATGTCTCCATTGGAAAAATATAGATGTTTTCATTACTCATTCTGTTACTGGGTTTTTTCCCAATTCTTCAAAAGATTTTACACAGTATATATATATTGATGTGAACATATTCTTTATTCATTTATCTATTCAATGGGTATTCGAGGTTTTCAAACGTTTATTGAGAAAAAATTCAAGGAATTTCATACAATCGAACTTCATGATTGTAATATAATACTTGATGGTGATTCAATTTATCATCAGATGTACGCAGAATGTGAGTTCACATATGTATTTGGTGGAGAATATGATGAATATTATCAATCTTGTGTACAATTATTTAAATCATTTAAAAAATGTCAAATCAAGTCAGTAGAAATATACATTTTTTTATTGTCTTTCTATGTCGTCTTTTCTTTAAGTGCATTTGTTGTTTTCGATGGTGCACAACTTGATAATCGAAAAAACGAAACGTTGATAAAGAGAGCTAAAGACAGTGTTAGAAAATCAACGATCAGTGACTCACGCGTTTTCATCAATCCCGTATTGCTTCGTCAAACATTTATCAGTGTACTCGATGCAATGAAAATTCCATATATTTCAGCACTTGGCGAAGCTGATGATGAATGTGTTTCATTGGCAAATCATTTTGATTGTTACTTAATATCTACCGATAGTGATTATTTTTGTTATAATCTTCAGCGTGGTTATATTCCATTTGAATCTTTGGATATCGAACCGAAAACAGAACATGGATATGTCTATCTAACAGCACAAGTATATCATATTAACGCATTACTTGAAAAATTCGATGGTTTACAATCGAAAACTTTAGCTTTGGCTTGTTGTCTTTGTGGGAACGATTACATTAATAGAGATTCAACCGAACAAATTATTAGATATATGAACGATAATGTAGAAATATCGAAAAGGTGCAATAGAAATGAAAAAAGACAAACGCAAAATCTTTGGAATGCTATGGAATGGATGCGACATATGACTGATGTCGATGAAGCAATTGATAACTTATTGAAGGGAGTCAGTCTCGACTCAATTGATGAATTGAAGATAAAAATTGAAGAAGCAGTATTAAGTTATCTGGAACCATCCGACACTCTGATCTATCGATTTCATCCGTCCAACAAAGCTAATCCAAATCTTCACACAAATCCAATATTTGTTCAACTTGCTCAATCCTATCTCGAGACATGTGATATGGTAAGAAGACATATCATCTCTTCGACAGAATGCATTTTCTTTGCTTTAGAATGATAAACAAATAAAAGCTTTCATTGACGAAACCTCGCAAAATATCGAAAGTGAATTTAATCATTCGTCGTTACCTCTATTTATTGCCGATGCTGTAAGTGATTGTCGTCTAACATCAGCATTTGTCGAAATATTTATCCGTCGAGAACTAATCTGTAAAGCATCTGTCGAAGTCAAAGAAAAACCATCAATCTTTACTTACGCTATTCCCATTGTTTTGCCATGTTTTTCTATTTTACTCCAAAGTGATCAACAACAAAATGATCTGTCGATCGTTTTTCATCATCGTCAACAAGATCAATTAGGAAGAGATGAACGTTTGATAAATACTCACGCTGCTAATATTCCTGATCTCGAATATATTTGGTCACAAATGCCAATTATTGAACGTCAGGACTTTGTAAGAAAATATTTGAAGATACCAGATCAATTCTTCAAACGGTTAGAACCTTTGCCTTTGAATTTTCATTTGTGGTTAATGATAATTTATCACTGGTATACTGAATGCAAAATTACATCGGTATGCCTGTATGCCATATTTGTTTGTTTTATTAAATGCATTTCTCAACAAAATGATCGCAATTTAGAGCAATTCGATGATTTATTAACTGCTTTCAAAATTGACAATTCTCGACAAGCAATCAATTTAGCAGAGGATGAAAATATATTTGAAAAATTCAAAAGTTTAGCTAAGAAAGATTCAACAAAAGCAAATTTTAATCGACGAACGACTTATGAATTGAACTGTCTTCAAGCGATTTATAGATATTCTCTACGATTGAATGATTTTTTCCGCAGACCATTTCATTGTTCAATTTATCCTCAAGATTTCATTTCTGGATCGTTATTCTATGGTTTTGTAAAACATTGCCAAGAGAAGAAATACGTTGGTGATATGAACAAATCTATCGATAGTCTTTTCAAAACCAGAATACTTGTCAATCTTCTACACAATCTATTCAATATTATCTATTAGATGGGATGAGGACCATACAGTGATACTCTTACTAAATGTATACTTTTCGTAACATAAATTTCACAAAATTCTTTATCCAATGTAGTCTCTGAACTCGAAAGGATATACTTGTTTGGAGAGATGTTCAATACTTGATATTCCTATTAGGGATGACATATTTACTTTACTAGAGTTAAGTAAAAGTAAATTGACATCCATAATCCTTATTTCTGATATATAATGTTTAACAGAATTGTCTTTTTTTTTTCAAAGTCGAATTGATTCGCTTTATAAGTTTCAAAACAAACCATTGTATTATAGAAGAATCATATTAACATGTTGGTTTTTATTTATAGTTTCTATAATGGAGTTTGCATCCAATAGGTCGAAACCATGTTCCTGCGTCGAATACATTGCGGAAGCAAACACCTTTCGCGAACAAGATCAAAAACAAACGGTAATCACTCTAGATGAGCAATACAAACGTGTTCGAACTGACAGCGCTACATTGTTCCTGGTTGATCTTGGATTATCTTGACACTTCTCCAAGTTACGACATATTTACCATTCTCTCCGAGATATATGAGAATGGAAATTCAGATAAGTGGATCATCAACAAAGAGTCATATCCAAGTGAAAGTAAATCTTACGAAGAAAACCAATGGCGCATCAATTTTGAGGATGTGGGCAAAAGTGAAGACGAAATACACCTCAATACTTTTAAACCCAAACATCAAAGTAGTTCGAAATCGGAGAAGTATTGATTTCATGCAACAAGTTGGTCTAAGGCAAATGCCATCATAGAACAAGGTCTACGGTTCGATATTTTTCCATTTGACTTTTCCCCGGTGTGCAAAGCCTGGAAGTGTTAAAAGTAAAAACGAAGTAATACGTCGAGCGTCGGTAAATAATAGATTTGCCATGCAATTAGCTATTCGAAATACGAATTCTATCGAAACACAAGTTCTTGAGATCGAAACAACTGAGTATAACAAACAAGACACTTTTTACCAAGAATATGAGAACTGAAACGATGGGCACAGAAAATTTAAACACAAATAAACAATTAGAAAGTACAAGATCAGAAAATATCATTTTTATCTTCAGTACACATGTTCAGTAACGAACGATCTATCCGTAAAAACTGAGAAAGAGATGTTCTTAAATAAATAAAATACTTTCCGTAAGATATAGATTAATTCATTTCTGTTTGAAAAAGAGTTCTTTCTTTTACTGCGATCTTGTCCTTGTAAAAAATTTGCTCATCTATTTAATATCCTCTTTTTCAGTATTATTAATTTCGTAAGTGTAAGCCATCGTACTATTCATAAAACATTAGGTTAATAATCACAATCATGTCGAAATAATTACTTGCGCTATTATAATCAATCTTTGAACATAATTTAAACTTATATATTGATTATACTTATCCTTCCTTAGTTCATCGTTTCAATTTTCACAATGACGAAGAAAATTGACTATAACTATATCGAACTAGCATTCTATTCTTTTTTTTTTGAACATATCAGTCATGATACACTCGATCGTTTCTCGGACAAATAATTAATGTAAAATAAAACAAGGATTTGGAAAAAATGATTTGAGTACGAATAATATAAGATTAAAGTTTCGTCTTTATGAGTATGAAGAGGAAATATCATTCGACATCAATTTGAGTTTCACAATATTCTCTAGATCAGAACGAATTTACTGCATTCATTCATGATATATATTAGAAGATTGCATTTCAATCGAGAAAAAAAGCAAATTCTGTTCAATCATTTTACAAACGGAAAATGCGTTTAATTTTAACTATTATTATTCATATTTCTATTGATATAAATACCATCGAAGTTACATTATATACAAAAGTGACCAATAGTTTGTTTTGTTTATAGTGTTATTACATCGAAGAATCAATCAACATTACCTTATTTCGCTTATCATTGTATAAATATTTGAAATCGTAATGTAATTCGGTTTTATACATTAGACAATAATGAAGCATCGTATGCATATCAACATAGAAATTCTTTAATATCTGATAATTATCCAGGTTCGTCATCATGTCCAACGTATAAATGTGCATTTTCGATTACAGGTTCTATGAAGTTTTCATGGTCTGATTTACCAAATGCTCATTTTTTGGCTAATAGTGGAACTTATTGAACAACAAATCCGATGACAGTTAGTATTGCAATCAATTCAAATCGTGTTTTGATTGGTATTTGAGCATTGAATTGTGAATAGAATGTGCTTTGATAGAAGTGTAGTTTGACTTGGTAATCAAGAAAGAAAAAGCAACTGTTCTTGCTAATCAGTATACTTATTCAATGAAACGTTCAATCCATTAGTAGACCCATTATTTATTCGTTTTGTATCCAGTTCAACATCGGGTCATTTACCTATTTTAGATATGTCTGACAGTACTTGATTTCTATCCAGCAATTGATCGATCAAGTCTTTTTTTCTACGACAATTCCATGTATTCGCGGTAGTTCTCGCCCATATGCAAGTATAGAATTATGTATACCGTGTTCCTATGAAACAGTGAGTAGTTTCGATGGAATCAATTGTGATATTTATATCGATCCCGATATGTTTTGTCTGTATGGAATTGTTGTTGAAATACCATATGATGTTTTTGATGATTTACACATGCAAAATATGTTCACATTTGATACGAAAATCCATACGTTGTCTTCTTTTATCATCGATTATATGCATATTAGTTGTTTTTGGCTTAGGTGATCTTATGGGTGAAGGTGAAGTAAGAGAAAATATCCGAAATGACTATACAATATCAATAGTTTCTTTTTCGTTTCGATGTAGATTGGCAGTTTTAGTTCCTGTTATTTTTGCTTGTAATTTCTCAAATTCATATTTAAATCAATATCCTATTGAAGACATCGGCAGTGGAAGTACATTATTGCTTGTGATACAAAATATACACAATGCAAACGACAAAACCTCGTCAATCAAAAGAAATTCAACCGATCTTTGATTTATTGGATGATGAACAACCATTTACACGTCAAACACAAGTTATTTTAGGATCGTTTGGTCTTTTATTTCTTCTTTGCAAATTACTTATTGTGCCTCTTGTTCAAATTGTACACATAAGTTACCATGAATTTCGCGCGAAGAATCAAATTTGTATTACAAAAAAATGGTAATATGACTATCCCGGTAAAAACTGGCCAATGACAGTGCGGAGAAATATCTTATTCATACAAATACTCTATTTTTGTTTCAATTCATTATAATGTAAGTTTTTGAATGTGCAATAGATCTCATAATTACAAATAAAGATTGAATCATAAGATGAGGAGTATAGATAAAGTACAGTAGAATAGAAGAGTTACAAGAATATTGAACAATCAGTGATACAAGTGTGACAATGAATTTGTTCANGTTTTGTTCATAGTTTGATTCTTGTCTGAATTTTTTCTCATAAGATAGTTCATCGGATTCTTTCAAAGACCGAATGACTTATCACTTCTTCTAGTTAATATGATATAAAACTTCGTTCTAATATAATGTGTTCTATGTTTTCAAGCATTCCCTTTCAAATTAATTGCAGAAAAAGAGATTTGAATAAACGTGCCCATCAGTCCTTCGATCATTCTTAATACAGTACCTGATTTCTATCCAGCAATTGATCGATCAAGTTTTTTTTTCTACAACTATTCCATGTATTCGCGGTAGTTCTCGCTCATATGCAAGTATAGAATTATATATACCGTGTTCCTATGGAACAGTGAGTAGTTTCGACGGAATCAAGTGTGATATTTATATCGATCCCGATATGTTTTGTCTGTATGGAATTGTTGTTGAAATATCATATGATGTTTTTGATGATTTAAACATGCAAAATATGTTCACATTTGATATGAAAATCCAGGCGCTGTCTTCTTTTATCATCGATTATATGCGTACTAGTTGATTTTGGCTTAGGTGATCTTATGGGTGAAGGTGAAGAAAGAGAAAATATCCGAAATGACTATACAATATCACAATAGTTTCTTTTTCGTTTCGATGTAGATTGGCAGTTTTAGTTCTTGTTATTTTTGCTTGTGATACAAAGTATACACAATGCAAACGACAAAACCTTGTCAATCAAAAGAAATTCAACCGATCTTTGATTTATTGGATGATGAACAACCATCTACACGTCAAACACAAGTTATTTTAGGATCTTTTGGTCTTTTATTTCTTCTTTGTAAATTAATTATTGCGCCTCTTGTTCAAATTGTACACAAAATTTACCATGAATTTCACGTGAAGAATCAAATTTGTGTTACAAAAAAATGATAATATGACTATCCCATTAAAAGTTGCCCAATGACAGTGCGGAGAAATATCTTATTTATACAAATACTCTTATTTTTGTTTCAATTCATTAATGTAAGTTTTTGAATGTGCAATAGATCTCATAATTACAAATAAAGATTGAATCATAAGATGAGGAGTATAGATAAAGTACAGTAGAATAGAAGAGTTACAAGAATATTGAACAATCAGTGATACAAGTGTGACAATGAATTTGTTCATATTCGAAACATCGTCTTGTCTCTACTTTTATTTAAAATTTGTCCTTGAGTCACTATTGTTTTTTCTATGANCTCTGGCTATCATCTCTTTGCTCTTATTAATTGTCTCTCTAGTCGGATTAATACTTATCTTTCTAAAGAAACTGCAACATCCTTATGCGCCTATTGGAATAATCGTCTTAATGATTGTCGCTACTTTCTTCTTGCTTGGCACATTTACATCTTTTTTTTCTTTCGGACCTGCAGCTATCGCCTCTTCAACATTAGGGAACTCGGTCTATTCAATTAATTTAATAATAACAGCATTCACCTTCACTTATTTGACATCCATTATAGGAACATATTGGTTGGCCACTGTGCACGGTGATTTACTCAACATAAAGACAGAGTCTGCTGATTATTCATCAAAAGCTGAAGAACACGCTGATGATCTACCGGAGGCCTTCTGAGAATTATGTGTGATTATTGTTCTATAGAAATTTTCTATGTTATCAATGAGAGAAAACGAATAAAAGCTTTTTTTTGACAATTATACGAAATTGTGAGTATGGGATCTTTCCGTGCATAGCACGAAGTGACATATTTGGTTATATTTCTTTATGTAAAAGAACTGTCGAAACTGATTTGTATTCTCATGTCATTCAATTTCTTCACCCATACTCTCTGAATGATACATTAATCTTTTCATACGGTTGAGCAACTGGATAACAAGCCAATTCACTTTTCCATAAAAGAGTATTTTCTATCCATTGAATCTAATAATAGAAAAATAAACTTTTGGTTACTTTTCATCAAGATTTTTCATAGATCAAAATTCACCTCTGGTATATGTGTTGTGGTTGCTTTTTCATTGATCTTTATTTCAGGTATTTCATCATTTAACGAAGATGCCAATGGTGATGGTCGAACAAAAACCATTAACTTTCGACGATGAGGAGAACGTGGTGAAATATAATGATCATAAAATTGAATTAAATCTTTACGTTCAAATTTTCTAAGAATTTCACCTAGAAGTTGAGCTAAAAAACAATGAAAAATCCTTTTTTTTCGTTGAAAATCTTTGCTCATTTCGACATCTTACGTCTATCAAAACAAAATTCGTGAGAAGTTATTTCTAACCAAAAAATATTCCCTTGATCTTCCATTCTCTTTGATATTTCAAGAGATTTTATAATAAAAGCATCGCGTTGCTTTTCAAATTCATCATTCGACATTTGTTGAAAATAATCTCGAATTGAATCCAGAAATATTTCGATTCTTTGATTTAAATATTCAGGTTCACTATTTGATTGTAGAATTATTTCAACACCATATACACCCTGTTTATTGTGAACACCAGAACGGACAATATAACCTAATTGTTCTTTCGTACGTAATTGATTGTAACATGATTCTTGAATAAGTTGAACAAAAAGATTAATTAATGCATTATTTTCTAAGGTTTCATGAAAACATTGTAGATAAACATGAATCGCATTGGTACGATATCCATCATTAAGCATCGTATATGCAAAATTACAGCCTAAGATAACAATAAAAATCATTTTTATTAATAAAATATTTATTTCGATATATACCATTAGGTAACATAAGATGTCGTCGAATGAACCACATACTGGGGAAAAGTGGTCGAAATAAATGTTTTTCATGAAATTTTCTTTGAAAATTTGTCATATATTCAATTGCTTGCTAAACAATGAAGAAAATATCTATTTAAATAATAAAACATAACAAGAAAATGACACTTACATTTTCAGTTATATTACCATACATAAGTGAATCAACATAAAATCGAGCAAATAAAGTTCGTATAAACGTTTCCATATCGTGTAATGTGATATCTAAAAGAATAAAATCAATCTTAGTATACTTTATATAGTTATTTAACTGTTCAAATCGTTTACCATCAATACAATTTAATAGTTCATCATTATTCCATTGATATTGTGATGTTAAATAATAAATTCCACGACTCGCCATTGAAACAGGTNTATACCATTGGAAAGTTCTAATCCACGATAATTCCATTCATCAATATCACTTTTTTTTATTGTATCAACAATACGCACTAAAATTGAATCATCTGATGAAAGTTCTGATGTTTTCATTCTCAACGATGTTTGCTAAATGTCGTTTAGAAAAAAGATTTTATAAAAGCATGTGCTACTGCAAATCATTATTACTCATTTTTTATATTTACTATTGTCGAAAAAGAAAAGAAAAGCTTGCCAATGTTCTTTTGGATGTTATTCGAACAAAAATTTCGAAATCTGTACTTCGAAGGTAAGAGCAATAAAAAGAAACATGGCTGTCATAATATCATTACGCTGTGTATCCAGAGCTGAAGGTCTCGATACCCAACAAACAATTAAACTATATTGTTCAAACACTTGATAATGGTAGTTAATTGGGTACATGTATCTATCCTTTGTTATATTTATCATTATATCACTTGAAAAAGAAACTGGAAAGTTATTCTTGATGAGAAAACTTGATATAGAAAACTCAATCGAATATATCCAGTAACAGTGAACCGTTCAAGTGATATTATATCAGTCTATTCGTGACCACTGCATTGATCTTTTCATATACATCATCACAAGTGACATAGTTTAACAGCCTCCATAAAATCAAGTCTTGCAAAGTTCAGTTCAGTGCATGCTCAAGGATCATCAGGAAACGTTAGTGAATCTATTTTATTTCCATGAATCTCATTCAGAAAGCGTTTGGGCAGACACTGTTTTGAATAAATTCATTCGAGATAACATGAGGAATTTCTGTTTATTGCATTCAATTAAAGAAGAGTTTCACCATCTTGATTCAAATGAAATCTATCTAATAGAAATTAATCATCATTACTTAGTATTTTCATAATACGAACAGCAAATGGAGCAGAAATACGTCTTCGAATCTCAATCAAAATGATTTAATGGTTCAATTTCTTCTCGTAACAGACGTTGACGATCATATTGTGGAAGTTCTATTCCTAACTTATTGTATTTTTATCTACTAATAGCATTTCGGCATCTTTTTATTATTATTAAAAGCAATAGTATACTGAAATATAGTTGAGTAAACTCATGAAAGATACCTTCCGTCAGTTTGTTTCGATTCGTGCATTGCGGAGGGAAAGATTGGATAGAGTCAATTGAATTTGAACTGAATGAGCAACGGCCGCCGGCTGAACGAACAAAAAATGCCAAATGGCGTTAGCCGACTGGAATGGATACACGTGTATACGTATATATATGTTCTTGTCTTCCTGCGCGCTTTAGCATTCTCTAAGCTTTCTGACTATCTTACACCTATCGTGTAGATAGTTCAGTAACAAAAGAAATATTCCATGGCAAAAAAGGCGGATCGACTGAAGGAGTTAAACAATATTGATGCATGTAATGCAGAGTTTTGTGAAACTCTAACATCGTCATACAACCTTGAAGATTTTTTTCCAGAAGAACCTTACTTAGTATCAATTTTCAAGAATTATCGTAGCCGCAAACTAAATGAACTGACACTTTTCTGGTGTTTTTTTATCACATTCATGCACTGGTGAGTTCAAATACCACAAATAAAACTTTGATTTTTTTTGTATTACATAAAGGTCATCCGACAGCAAACTATTCGACAAAGATACGTATGATTATATTATTATCAAACTGTACGGCGTACTTCGTGGAGATTCTGGTAAAGTTCTTTGTATTTTGCCATCGATTTTGAACTCGATTTTTAAATTTAGTCTCTCACAAGTCTGGCTACATTAGACCTATACGACAAGCTTTCGATTTTATCGAGAAATACTTCAAAGAAAAATTTACTGACTCTCATCACAATGTCAATTCTAGTTGTATTGAAAGTTTAACGGCGGCAAAGCTTATTACTGAACNATAAAACGTTGATTTTTGTTTGTATTACATAAAGGTCATCCGCCAGTAAATTATTCCACAAAGATACGTATGATCATATTATTATCAAACTGTACGGCGTACTTCGTGGAGACTCTGGTAAAGTTCTTTGTATTTTGCCATCGATTTTCAACTCGATTTTTGAATTTAGTCTCTCACAAATCTGACTACATTAGACCTATACGGTAAGCTTTCGATTTTATCGAGAAATACTTCAAAGAAAAATTTACTGACTCTCACCTCAATGTCAATTCTAGTTGTATTGACAGTTTAACAGCGGCGTAGCTTATTACCCCAGGTTATTATGGCACGGTTGGTTCCGGCCGGTTAGGTTCGTTTTCCGACCATTTCCTTACCGCCGGATTCCGGCCGGAAGTTTAAACGTAGGTTCCAGTCATCTCCCAACCGTTTCCTGCAAACTTCGAGCTGAAAACGGTCAGGAACTGATCAAATATTTCCTCTGCAATTCCGACCGGAATCCGGTGGTAAGGAACCTGCCGGAACTTGCTGGAATCGGCGAAAACTGTGCCGGAATCGAGAAGAGCTCTATTGGAACCGACTCAGATTTCAACGGATCCAGTCGCTGGAATGATCGACCTGGGGTACCATTAGATCATCATAGAAATAAGGACGATGGTATTCGTGATTGTTTATCTTACGTACTTGAGCAAGTAGTCGAACTCGTCAACGTTACTGATGTAACAATGATTGATCGAGCTACCGATCATAGTGGAACAGATAAGACAGATGAATGCAGTTTATTACATACATTATTGTGACGGAATATAGAAATGAAAATGAATGTTATTTCATTTCAGCTGCAGCATATTTCTTTTATTTCAATTGTGATCACAATGACAAACTGAAGGAATAGCAATATCGCTATTCTCTCGTATGTAGATGATGTTCTCTACATTGTCGAGACTCCAGTTGTGTCTAATACAGTACAGAACACCGTCTTTTATACGGAACAGAAAGAGAAGAGAACAAACATTGACAGTACAAAGTAATATTCATAATGCGAACATTAGCAAGAAAAGAACATTACACAAGGACACTAACTCATGACTGACATTTCTAAATGATAACTCATAAGATATAATATTTAGATGGACGTGTCTGTTGGCACAATTACCTCTTTGAATTGTAGCGTCGTCAACTCAATTGTCGAGAAAAACCACGACATGTACTGTTGATAAATGTATACCAAATAATATCAAAGGGTTATGCAATAAGTTTCTATTATCAGACACAATTGTTATCTCTCGAACGAAGCTGGATAAGATTTGCAAAATCAATATAGACGACATCGAGAAAGCATGTAAAGTATTGATTGACTATGGTTTGTTGTCACTGGAAACAAATGTTTTGGGAAATGAGCATTACTATTACGAATGATTTCTCAAACAAATTCCGAAAACTCAATCAGAATTATTGGATTTTTCAATGAAATTATCCATATTTGGAATTGATAATATCAACAACTATTATGCTACGTTAGAAACCAGTAAGTTGCATAACCTTGATGATTCGCAAACTATTAGCCACGATTAGTCATTCCGTTCCTTTTTCGTAAATTGACTGATTCAAATTGAGAGTTCTTTGAAAGTAATTGAGACTGACAAAAGGATCCAAAGATTAATACTTAGGTGTATCCAAAAGTAATGTTGTCTCTATTTTATTTCTTTATTAAAAAGTCAAAAGAAAATTCTTGTTCCACAGAAAGATAGAGAAAATGAAGCTCTATTTTTTTATGCTATTTGATTCTTCTTCAGTTAATACTATAGGAATAAATTTTCGATGGGAATTATGTTTGTGTAAAACTTAAGTCACGAAAAAGTCATTGTGAATGTTCGCATTTCTAATACATTATATTAAAAATCGGTATATACCAAAAGATGCAGCGTGAGAAGTTCTACAATCTACAAAAAAAATTTATTTTAATTGTGCACTTTTTGTTTTTAAAAAAAAGTAAAACACCGTGCGACCAATTGTGGCTGTTGCGAAAAATCATTTTTTCTTCTACACAAGCGAAAAACTTCTTTCCTTATTTCCTCTTTTATGATCGNAAATCGTATCACGCGTACAACGCACGTCAGAGAGATTGTCACAAATATAATTCTACGTTAATTAACCTTTTTTAGACATTATTACAATCAGAGCGAAATGGTGCCATTCAATCCGTTAGGAAAATAATGAAAACAATAGCAATTGCTGAAGTATCAAATGGTTTAACATTATTTCCTGATAGTGTTAGAAAAGAAAAACGAAATAAACGTGCTAAACGCGATGACATATCAGTTCATGACGTTTTGAAAGAATTTGTGTCGAATTCTACAGATGATGAAGATGATAATAAAGATTATGATGAAGTGGCAGAGTATATGAAATTCAAGGTCAATTATCCTGAAGGTGAAGGTATACTTGTATGGTGGAAGAAACACTTGACTATTTTTTCACAAGTATCACGCTTAGCACTTTCACTTCTTTCCACTCAGCTTCATCAGCTGCAAGTGAGCGCGTATTTAGTGGAACTGGTCGTATTCTAGAAGCACGACGACAACAACTACATCCTGAGTCACTCGATTCACTTGGTTTTTTTACGTAATTTTAGATAATTTATCTTTCTCTTTGTTGTTAATGTATGAAATTATACACAGTATATCACTGGAATGAAATAAAGATTTAGAAATGTTCTTATATTTTGAAAACTGTAAAAGGAGCCGGTTCGGGTCCGGGCGGTAAAAAAAGGTGCCGGGTCGGTTTCGGGTGCAAAAAGGTGCACTCGTGCAGGACTGTAGTCCAGAAAAAGGTCAATATCTACTTGGTTCCAGGAAAAACTCAATCATACGCTTGCTACAGGCGGTTCATGAAACTGACCAATAGGATTGCACCATTCAAAAATTGCAGCTGGTCAGTAGCGAAGGCCGTCTGAGCGCTCATAGACAACAATCCACGTGTTCTCTACACCTATGATAGTTCTGTGCATGCTACCGGTAACCTACGAAACTAACCAATAGCGTTACATGATTTCAAAAGATTAAGATAAATGTTAAGGGTGAGTGAATGGGAAGGATATAAGGTATGAAATGACATGAGAGTGAGAAAGAGGTCGATGAATGAATATTAGAGAGAGAGAGAGGAAATTTGAATAAGTTCTGAGGCAGAAATCAGCTCCGGTAACTCTTTTGCATTAAAGAGCTATAACTGAAATTGTCGTTTTGTGCCATGGACGGCGAGAAAAATTAGTGTCGCCAGGGTACAAACTTGGAGTTTATTGATTTTTCTATTTGCTGCAGCTTTTCAAGACGTTAGACGTTCGACATAGGTATTTATTATTTTGCAGCGGGTATGCTCGCTAGTTGAAAATAAAAGAAGTATCAGCATTTTTATGAACGGCAGCGAAATATATGAAATCAAAATGACAAAAAAAGCATTCAAAAGAATGAGTTTTCTAAATAGTTATTAATCATATAAGTAAAGAAAAATTTTTCGTAAAAACCATTGATATATGACGATCTTGGTGCGGTGAAAAAAATTTTAACAGTTAAACTAGGAAATTCTATTATTTTTTAATGCGTCATAAAGAAATTTTTCATACTCAATGAATTCTCAGTTTTACATGAAACGTTTTTTGCGAATACAAGAATTTAATATGAAGTTTTGTAAGAATGATCTAATAGCGAAGAATATTTATGAACAATAACGAAAAGATTTTTCTATGGAAATTTTGATGGAGAAAAAGAATTTATTTATTGTATTTTCATTATTTAGAAAGTAATTCTAAAACATGTATTTTTTCTTCCTGTTCTGTCGTTTAAAGTTTTCATATAAGCAGAAAAAAATTTTAAAAACTTTAAAAGTTCATAGTTGACCATCTTTTCAATTCTTTATTGAACTTTAGACTTCGATGTGAACATAATGAAGAGAATAAGTATCAGAGAGCGAAACGAGGCAATATTTTGCTGCCTCGCCTCGCTAATGGCTCACCTCGCCTCGCCTCGCCTCGTGGTTATTTTTAAAAAGTTTGCCTCGCCTCGCCTCGACATTTTTGGACGTTACAGAAATTACTATTGAGAATATATTTGTTAACCCTACTACTACCAAACTCTTTTGCAGTTTCTCAGCGTACGAATATATTCTAGAATAAGTTTCTATATGAATATTTACTGCGTCTAAGACACATTCATTTAATCTGAAAATCACTGATCTTTCATTCTTAAGATTTCTGTTCCTTATTGACACTGTCGATTCCAGAGAATAGATCAAACACACCCCACACTGCATTCACACAGATAATCTCACTCGTCATATATTGATGAAAATTTTGCACTATTAAAAACTTTAACTCTATTATTAAGTTTATTGTTGCTACGATCAAAACGGTTCCAGTTGGTGGCACTACGGCTAAGAATATAACAGTTTCGTGATACTTTCAGTGTCCACTGTGTGAGATTTTTTTACCTATCTCTTGGGAATGATTTTATTATTCCTAATAAGTCAAC